TTATTATTATTATTATTATTATTATTATTATTATTATTATTATTATTATTATTTGTTAAGGAGGATGAGGACGACAAGCTAAACTTGCCGAGAGCGGCTGTCATCCTTCATCATCCAAGTGAGCAGATGATTACAGTGTTGGGAAATTAAATTAAGAAATTGTATTGGCACACAGTCGTGTTATTAATTCGATTGTCTTGATCATCTTACTGTCATTATTGTGAAGCCGTCGGTTACTGTACGGTAGTTGTCTGTCAGTCTGTCTGCCTTCAATCATATGTCAAGTGAGCAGGAAATATTGTCAAGCTCATGAATGCAACTTTTAAGTTAATTTGTTATCAACTTATTTGAAAATATTACTGAATTACATTATAGGTCAAATGACATTCAGTAAATAATCAACAAAGATCATCATTCTCTTATGGTGAAAGTAACCCAAATTTCGTAGTGAAAAATGAAACAATTTACAATCCCACAGACTCCCTGAAATAGGAATATTTTAACAGCTTCATGAAATAGTGACAGTCAGATAAAGACCCCATACTGATAGAAATTTCATTGACTCATTGTGAAAAAAAAGTAAAATTCAGTTGCATTTTACATCAAGAGATCCACAATGTCCAACAAAAATTATCAAGGACACATGAAATAGTAAAACATAAAAACACAAAAAAACTCAGTCACCGTTCGTCTGTAATGGCGGACATTTACACCAATGGTTAAGCTGAGACGACTGACTGTATTTCCCTTTAATTTTGATCTACTAATCCTTTCATAATGATATATTTTGCTACTAAGTGTTTCCTCTAAACTCACAAGAGCTCGTAATAACAAACAAAAATTATTAGCCATGTATAAAATTTGTACAAAGACTTATCAGTTTTTATTAAAAATATAATAAAGTCAAATGTGTTTCTTTAACCCTGTGTGTTTCAATGAGTTATTTTTACCCACTATTACAGATTTACAGTAAGTCAGGCTGGAAGAATACTGATCTGTAATAAAAATGACTTTAGTGCACTTAATACTGTGTTATAGACAGGCTTCAATAGGTCAATTGTTGTTTGATTGTGAAGGAAAAAACCTAGAGTGAAAAATACACTTAAAACAAACCAATACACACCTTAATAACTACACCCATTCCTTAATAACTACACCCACACCTTAATAACTACACCCATACCTTAATAACTACACCCACACCTTAATAACTACACCCATACCTTAATAACTACACCCACACCTTAATAACTACACCCACACCTTAACTACACCCACACCTTAATAACTACACTCACTACTAAATAACTACACCACTACTACTTTAACCCTACCCTACACTCTTACCTTAATAACCACCCATTCCTTAATAACTACACCCAATAACTTTCCTTAATAACTACACCCACACCTTAATAACTACACCCATACCTTAATAACTACACCCACACCTTAATAACTACACCCATACCTTAATAACTACACCCACACCTTAATAACTACACCCACACCTTAACTACACCCACACCTTAATAACTACACTCACTAATAAACTAACACACCTCTTTAACCCTCCCACGATTCAATAACTGACCACTGCTATGTATTCGAGGGTTTTTCTCTGAGCTATGAATTATTTTCAAGGGTTAATAATGGTGTTATGCGTCACTATTACCTTTCAAGAGTTTAAAAATCATTCATCCAAATTAATAATTTTTTTTTTACACACTTGACAAATATTTCCAGTATTAATAACCAATCCCACGCAATTGATTGATACTTAATCAGACCCATACACTTTATAGGTACTTAACTGAGTCACTAACCAGACCCATACACTTTATAGGTACTTAACTGAGTCACTAACCAGACCCATACACTTTATAGACACTTAACTGAGTCATTAACCAGACCCATACACTTTATAGGTATTTAACTGAGTCACTAACCAGACCCATACACTTTATAGACACTTAACCGAGTCACTAACCAGACCCATACACTTTATGGGTACTTAACTGAGTCACTAACCAGACCTATACACTTTATAGACACTTAACCGAGTCACTAACCAGACCCATACACTTTATGGGTACTTAACTGAGTCACTAACCAGACCCATACACTTTATAGACACTTAACTGAGTCACTAACCAGACCCATACACTTAATAGACACTTAAAAAAGATCTCCAAAAGGTTCATAAACACTTCTCTATGCCAGTATGCACACTCGTTAATTTATATCCGAACGCATGTGACTTTCCCCATTGAGCTTATTTTCCCGTGACTTTTTTCCCCCGTGGCTTATTTTTCCTACGACCTTTTTTCCTGATTTATTTACCCGTGACTTTATTTCCCTTGGACTTAAATTACTAACGATCTTATTAACTTATAATCTACATGAATCATCATTATCATACACGATCGAACTTCTACGAGTATACTTTGAAGCTTCGAAATTTTTTTTTTTAAATTAATGATATTTTCCAATCATCCCCATTCAGCATCTCACACACACACACATACACACACACACCTGCTAGTTGCATTTGGGAAGTAATTAGCTTACCTGCTGTATCCCGACCCTTTGAAACCACGGGACGCTGCATCGAAGCTACCAAGCGACAGTTGTCATGCAGTGGCTTGCCTCCCTCCCTCCCTGCCTGCCTGTTTGCCTGCCTTCATGACTGCATCCCCGCCTGCCTGCTTCCTTGTTTTGCTTCCCTTTCTGCTTGCTTCTCAGCCTGTCTGCCTGCCTGTTTGTCTGCCGTCATGACTGCCTTTCTGCCTGTCTGTTATATGCCTGCCTGCCTATTTGTCTGTTTGCCTATTTGCCTGCCTGCCTCCCCGCCTTCCTGCTTCCATATCTGCCTGCCTTTCTGCTTACATGCCTGTCAGCTTGCCTGCCTGTCTGCCCATCTGCTAACATGTCTGTCTGTCTGTTCGTCTGTCTGCCTGTTCATCTGCTTACATGTTTATTGACTTTCTATCTGCTTTCATGTCTGCCTGCCTGCCTCTCCGCCTGTCGTTCTGCCTACTTGATATGCTCTCAGCTGAAAAGAAAACCTAGCCATTATTTTTTCTGATGAAACTGAAAAAGTGAATATAAAAAGTTAGAAATTTCCTGTCAACTAAAATAATCGAAAAAGGTAAAAAAAATATATATCTAATTAACATACGCGTCAAGCTTAATAGAAAAAAATAACGTAGGTAAAAACCATCTCTGGTGGGATGAAATTTTGGGCAGGCGTTCCCTATAGACCGTAGCTTGACGGGGTAATCAAGTTTTTTTTCTCTCTCTCTCTCTTTGTACACACACACACACACACACATATATATATATACATATATGTGTGCGCAGGTGCATGGGTGTACCGGTGTGTGGGGAAACAGGTGTGTGGGTGTACAGGTGTGTGAAGAAACAAGTGTGGGTATACCTCCGTTAGTCCACATGCACCCAAAAGACCACTGGTACAGTCACAAGTCCTAATTTCTAGCCTGCCCTGGCCAGAGGGTGAGTTGAATCCAGCGGTCTTCTGAACGACGGCTCACCATGGTAACGCACAGACAAACACACAACCGAAAAACTCATGAGACTTTTGAATACCCATCAACACTGGCTATATTTAAACAAAACCATTGCCTTTTCACACAACATTATTTCAAAGAATAAACAATGTGAAAAACAGCCCATGTAACATGGAAAATATGCTGTTGTAAATGCCTGGCCTCCGTGACATTGGAAATGACTCATTTATTGATACCGCGGCGGAGATGAACCAGCTTCAGTAAGTGAAGCAAACTTTGGTACGTAGCCATAACCATGAGAGTAGATAGTTCAAGAGAAGCATTACGGGCTGACGCTTGACACGGTGAGTGAAACAAATACCAGACTTGTGAAAATAAAGAATATTGTGTGTTGCATTAGTAATGTATAACCTTATTTTAGTTGTTTTGTGGGAGCTACTGGTGGTAACATGACGTTGTTGCTTCAGGGATGTAATCCTTGCTCTTCCCTTCACTCTATATCATCTATATCTCGTATATACATAATTAATGTCAAATATACACACAGCACTAAATATCAGGAGAATTAACCATAAATATGTTACATGGAACATAAATACAACTTCCAACATTACCCTCATGTACTGCCTCACCGCGGCCTGACGAGCTATACGTACGGAATAGTTTAAAGTTGTGTCGGGCCTCAGGTCGAGGCACACCCGACTCGCAGCCTCGGGTTGGTCTACCTGGCTTGGCCACTCGCTTCCTGGCCAGTCATAGCGGACCATACTTGGGAGGCCTCAGGGTGGCCCACTCCTTGGCCAGCCGAAGCGGCCAGCCGCGTTCTTGGGATATTTAATGGCAAACTAAGGAATTAGGCAGCAGGTGCCCCCAGGAACCATCACAAGGACGGTGATCCCAGGGACGGCGCATCCAGGGGGTGCCACCAAGGGCCTAACTAGGGTAAGGGCTCTCACAGGAGTGGCACCACCAGGGGCCTAACTGGGGTAGGGGTTCTCACAGGAGTGGGGCCCAAAAGAAGCGGTGCCTCCAGGAAACCCAGCAGCAGCGGTACCCCCAGAGGGCCTCCCAGAAACAGCGCCTTCAGCGGCCCTGCCAAAAGAAGCCCCACCAGGGGCAGCACCTCCAGGGGCCCTACCAGAGGCACAGCCAGGAAACCTACCAGAGGTGCGATCCTAAGGGGCCCTCTCGGGGGAGATATCTCTATGGGCTTTCCCAGGCGTGGCACCACCAAGGTAAGTGCTCTCATGGGCATTACCAGGGATGGTGCCTGCAGGGAACCTACTAGGGATGGCACCCCAGGGGCTCTACTTGGGGTGGCGCTCCCAGGGGCGGTGCCTCCAGGGACCCTTCAAGGAATGTTCCCAGGGGCCCTCCCAGTGTCAGCACTCCCAGGAGCGGTGAAATTCCCAGGACTCTCCCAAGGCCAGTGGCGATCCCAGAGGCCCTCTCTGGGTCAGCGGCAACCCCATGGGCAGCGACTACCCCAAGGATCCTGCCTGCGGCGGTGGCGAACCCAGGGGTCCTCCCATTGTCGGTGGAGACCCCAGAGGCCCTTCTAGTAGCGGCGGTGTACACAGGGGCCCCACAGGGGCGGCGGCGACCCCAGAGACACAATCAGGGACGGCAGTAACCCTAGGGGCCTCTCGGGCAGCGGCGACCCCAGCCTCTCCCAGGGACGGCGGCGCCTCCAGAGGCCCTCCCAACGGTAGTGGCGACCCCACGGGCTCTCACAGGGCTAATGCGACCTCAGGGGTGATGGCGCCCCGAGGGGCCCTCACAGGGACGGAGGCTGCGCCCCCATAAGCCCTATAGCTTGCTTGGTCATGGTGTTGTATATATTGCATACATCCAGCAATTTCTTACTTTACTGTGATTGGTGGACTAAAATGTAAATCCACCAAATTACAGCCAATAGGAAAACAGAACAGTTAGTCAGCACAACACCCCAACTTATGTTTTCCTGTTGGATATTTATTCTCCTTTACATTGTTCATGATTCGATGGTACTGGAAATGTGAAGGGCGGTGTATTTATACGCTCATAGTGCACCTTGAACAATGTAAAGGAGAATAAATATCCAACAGGAAAACATAAGTCAGGGTGTTGTGCTGACTGCCTCCTCTGTTTTCCTATTGGCTGTAATGTGGTGGGTTTACATTTTAGTCCACCAATCACAGTAAAGTAAGAGATTGCTCTACCGTATGCAATATATACTACATTATGAACAAGCAAGTTATAAGGCTTCTGGGAGGGGGCAGCCCTGGTAGGGCCCCTGGGGCACCGTTGCCTCTGGGAGGGCCCCAGGGGGCACTGCAGTCGCCCCTGGGAGAGCACCTGGATTTACCGCCCCCCCCTGGGAGAGCCCCTGGGTTCTCTATCGATTCCGGCCTGGCCCCTGGGGTCGCCGTTGCTCCTGAGAAGGCCCCTGGGGTTGTCGCCCCCTCTGCTAGGGCCGCTTGGGTCACTGCCACCCTTGGGGGTGCCACCGCCCCTGGAGGAGCCGGTGGTGGCGCCGCCGCCATTGGGAGGGCCCATGGGAGTTTCGCTGCCCCTGGGGGAGCCCCTCTGGGCACCGCCTCCACACTTTAGGCTTCTCGGGGCAACCACGCCCCTGGAAAAGCCTGTGGGATCGCCGACGCCTCTCAGAGAGCCCCTGTGTCGCCGCCGATCCTGGGAAGTTCCCTGGTGGCGCCACCGCCCCTGGGAGGGTCCCTGGGGGTGCAGCACCTGGTGGGGCAAATGGGAGGGTTCCAGGAAGCGCTGCCCCTGTAGGGCCTCAGAGGGCAGTTGTTTTTTGCACTCTTTAGAATAATGGGAGATACGAGGGTTAAATAAATACACTGCCCATCACATTTCCAGTACCATCGTATCACGAACAATGTAAAGGAAAATAAATATCCAACAGGAAAACATAAGTTGGGGTGTTGTGTTGACTGCTGGCTCTGTTCTCCTATTGGCTGTAATTTGGTGGATTTTCATTTTAGTCCACCAATCATTGTAAAGTAAGGGATTGTTGGACGTTTGCCATATATACAGCACCATAACCAAGCAAGCTATAGGGCTTCTGGGCGGGACGCTCCTTGTAGGGCCCCTGGGGCGCCACAGCCTCTGGGACGGCCATAGGGGCACTTTTGTCTATGGGAGGGCCTCTGGGGTCGCCGCCCCCGCCCCTGGGAGGACTGGTGGAGTTACCACCGCCTTTGTGAGGGCCCCTGGGGTTACAGCGACTCAAGGAGCCTTAGCAGGGGCTTCAACGATCCCCGGGGCCTTCCATGGGGCTTTGGTGACCCCAGAGGCCCTCTCTGGAGCAACGGCGATTCCAGAGGCCTTATCAAGGGCAGCAACGACCCAAAAGATCCTCTCTGAAGCCTCAGCGACCCCATGGGGCCCTCCCATTGTCATAGAAGCCCTCAAGGGCCCTTTCAGGGGCGTCGGCTCCCCCTGGGGCCCTCCTAGATGCGGCAGTGTCCACAGGGGGCCCATGGGGGTGGTGACGACCTCAGAGGCAAACTCAGGGGAAGCTGTAACCCCAAAGGCCCTCTCAGGGGCAGCGGCAACCTCGTGGTTCTCCAAGCGACAGCATCACCTCCAGAGGCCCTCTCAAGGGCGGTGGCGAGCCCATGTGCTCTCGCAGGGGATGGTGTGAACACAGGGGCCCTCTCAGGCGTGGCAGGGCTCTCAAGGGTCCTTCCAGGCATTGTAGTGCCCCAGGGGCCCTACCAGGGGAGCCGCTTCCCAGAAGCCTTATAGCTTGCTTGGTCATGGTGCTGTATATATTGCATACGTGCAGTAATCCTTTAGTTAACTGTGATTGGTGGACTAAAATGTAAATCCACCAATTTACAGCGAAAAGGAGAACAAAACAGTCAGTCAGCACAACACCCCAACTTATGTTTTCCTGTTGGATATATATTCTTCTTTACATTGTTCATGATTCGATGGTACTGGAAATGTGATGAGCTGTGTATTTATTTAAAGCTCATAGTGCACCTTGAACAATGTAAAGGAGAATAAATATCCAACAGGAAAACATAAGTTGGGGTGTTGTGCTGAATGACTCCTCTGTTCTACTATTGGCTGTAATTTGGTGGGTTTACATTTTAATCCACCAATCACAGTAAAGTAAGGGATTGCTGGACGTCTGCAATATATATACTACATTATGAAAAAGCAAGTTATAAGGCTTCTGGGAGGGGGCAGCCCTGGTAGGGCCCCTGGGGCACCGTCACCTCTGGAAGGGCCCCAGGGGGCACTGCCGCCTCTGGGCGGGCCTCTAGGGGCACTGCGGTCGCCCCTGGGAGGGCACCTGGAGTTACCGCCCACCTGGGAGAGCCCCTGGGTTCTCTATCGATTTCGGTCCTGGCCCCTGGGGTCGCTGTAGCTCCTGATAAGGCCCATGGGGTCGTCGTTGCTCCTGATAAGGCCCCCTCTGCAAGGGCTCCTTGGGTCACTGCCACCTTTGGGGGTGCCACCGCCCCTGGAAGAGCCCTTGGTGGCGCCGCCATCAATGGGAGGGCCCATGAGAGTTTCGCTCCCCTGGGGGAGCCCCTGTGGGCACTGCCTCCACTATGAAGGCTTCTGAGGGCAACCACGCCCCTGGAAACGCCTGTGGGATCGCCGACGCCTCTATGAGAGACCCTGTGTCGCCGCCGATCCTGGGAAGTTCCCTGGTGGCGCCGCCACCCCTGGGAGGATCCCTGGGGGTGCCGCACCTGGTACGGCAAAGGGGAGGGTTCCAGGGAGCGCTGTCCCTTCTAGGGCCTCAGCGGGCAGTTGTTTTTTGTACTATTTAGAATAATGTGAGATATGAGGGTTAAATAAATACACTGCCCATCACATTTCCAGTACCATCGTAACACGAACAATGTAAAGGAGAACATATATCAAACAGGAAAACATAAGTTGGGGTGTTGTGCTGACTGCTGGCTCTGTTCTCCTATTGGCTATAATTTGGTGGATTTACATTTTAGTCCACCAATCACAGTTAAGTAAGGGATTGCTGGACGTATGCAATATATTCAGCACCATGACCAAGCAAGCTATAGGACTTATCGGCGGGACGCTTCTGGTAGGGCCCCTGGGGCGCCACAGCCTCTGGGACGGCCATAGGGGCACTTCTGTCTATGGGAGGGCCTCTGGGGTCGCCGTAACCGCCAATGGGAGAGTACCTGGAGTTACCGCCCCCTCTGGGAGAGCCCCTGGGTTCTCTATCGATTCCGGCCTGGCCCCTGGGGTCGCCGTTGCTAGTGATAAGGCCCCTGGGGTTGTCGCCCCCTCTGCTAGGGCTCCTTGGGTCACTGCCACCCTTGCGGGTGCCACTGCCCCTGGAAGAGCCGTTGGTGGCGTCGACGCCATTGGGAGGGCGCATGGGAGTTTTGCCCCCCCTGGGGGAGCCCCTGTGGGCTCTGCCTCCACTATGAAGGCTTCTGGAGGCAACCACGCCCCTGGAAAACCCTGTGGGATCGCCGACGCCTCTGAGAGAGCCCATGTGTAGCCGCCGATCCTGGGAAGTTCCCTGGTGGCTCTGCCGCCCCTGGGAGGGTCCTTGGGGATGACACACCTGGTAGGGCAAATGGGAGGGTTCCAGGGAGCACTGTCCCTGTAGGGCCTCTGAGGGCAGTTGTTTTTGCTCTATTTAGAATAATGGGAGATACGAGGGTTAAATTATACACTGCCCATCACATTTCCAGTACCATCGTATCACGAACAATGTAAAGGAAAATAAATATCCAACAGGAAAACATAAGTTGGGGTGTTGTGCTGACTGCTGGCTCTGTTCTGCTATTGGCTGTAAGTTGGTGGATTTACATTTTAGTCCACGAATCACAGTAAAGTAAGTGATTGTTGGACGTTTGCCATATATACTGCACCATGACCAAGCAAGCTATAGGGCTTCTTGGAGGGACGCTCCTTGTAGGGCCCCTGGGGCGCCACAGCCTCTGGGACGGACATAGGGGCACTTTTGTCTATGGGAAGGTCTCTGGGGTCGGCGCCCCCGACCCTGGGAGGACTGGTGGAGTTACCACCGCCTTTGCGAGGGCCCCTGGGGTACAGCGACTCAAGGAGCCTTTGCAGGGGCTTCAACGTTCCCCGGGGCCTTCCATGGGGCTGTGGCGACCCCGGAGGCCCTCTCTGGAGCAACGGCGATTCCAGAGGCCTTATCAAGGGCAGCAACGACCCAAGAGATCCTCTCTGAAGCCTCAGCGACTCCATGGGGCCCTCCCATTGTCATAGAAGCCCTCAAGGGCCCTTTCAGGGGCGTCGGCGCCCCCTGGGGCCCTCCTAGATGCGGCAGTGTCCACAGGGGGCCCATGGGGGTGGGGACGACCTCAGAGACAAACTCAGGGGAAGCTGTAACCCTAAAGGCCCTCTCAGGGGCAGCGGCAACCTCGTGGTTCTCCTAGCGACAGCATCACCTCCAGAGGCCCTCTCAAGGGCGGTGGCGAGCCCATGGGTCTCTCGCAGGGGATGGTGTGAACACAGGGGCCCTCTCAGGCGTGGCAGGGCTCTCAAGGGTCCTTCCAGGCATTGTAGTGCCCCAGGGGCCCTACCAGGGGAGCCGCTTCCCAGAAGCCTTATAGCTTGCTTGGTCATGGTGCTGTATATATTGCATACGTGCAGTAATCCTTTAGTTAACTGTGATTGGTGGACTAAAATGTAAATCCACCAATTTACAGCGAAAAGGAGAACAAAACAGTCAGTCAGCACAACACCCCAACTTATGTTTTCCTGTTGGATATATATTCTTCTTTACATTGTTCATGATTCGATGGTACTGGAAATGTGATGAGCGGTGTATTTATTTAAAGCTCATAGTGCACCTTGAACAATGTAAAGGAGAATAAATATCCAACAGGAAAACATAAGTTGGGGTGTTGTGCTGAATGACTCCTCTGTTCTACTATTGGCTGTAATTTGGTGGGTTTACATTTTAATCCACCAATCACAGTAAAGTAAGGGATTGCTGGACGTCTGCAATATATATACTACATTATGAAAAAGCAAGTTATAAGGCTTCTGGGAGGGGGCAGCCCTGGTAGGGCCCCTGGGGCACCGTCACCTCTGGAAGGGCCCCAGGGGGCACTGCCGCCTCTGGGCGGGCCTCTAGGGGCACTGCGGTCGCCCCTGGGAGGGCACCTGGAGTTACCGCCCACCTGGGAGAGCCCCTGGGTTCTCTATCGATTTCGGTCCTGGCCCCTGGGGTCGCTGTAGCTCCTGATAAGGCCCATGGGGTCGTCGTTGCTCCTGATAAGGCCCCCTCTGCAAGGGCTCCTTGGGTCACTGCCACCTTTGGGGGTGCCACCGCCCCTGGAAGAGCCCTTGGTGGCGCCGCCATCAATGGGAGGGCCCATGAGAGTTTCGCTCCCCTGGGGGAGCCCCTGTGGGCACTGCCTCCACTATGAAGGCTTCTGAGGGCAACCACGCCCCTGGAAACGCCTATGGGATCGCCGACGCCTCTATGAGAGACCCTGTGTCGCCGCCGATCCTGGGAATTTCCCTGGTGGCGCCGCCACCCCTGGGAGGATCCCTGGGGGTGCCGCACCTGGTAGGGCAAAGGGGAGGGTTCCAGGGAGCGCTGTCCCTTCTAGGGCCTCAGAGGGCAGTTGTTTTTTGTACTATTTAGAATAATGTGACATATGAGGGTCAAATAAATACACTGCCCATCACATTTCCAGTACCATCGTAACACGAACAATGTAAAGGAGAACATATATCAAACAGGAAAACATAAGTTGGGGTGTTGTGCTGACTGCTGGCTCTGTTCTCCTATTGGCTATAATTTGGTGGATTTACATTTTAGTCCACCAATCACAGTTAAGTAAGGGATTGCTGGACGTATGCAATATATTCAGCACCTTGACCAAGCAAGCTATAGGGCTTCTGGGAGGGATGCTTCTGGTAGGGCCCCTGGGGCGCCACAGCCTCTGGGACGGCCATAGGGGCACTTCTGTCTATGGGAGGGCCTCTGGGGTCGCCGTACCCGCCCCTGGGAGGGCTGCTGGTGTTACCATCGCCTTTGCGAGGGTCCCTGGGGTCACAGCAATTCAAGGAGCATAAGCAGGGGCTTCACGGACCCGTGGTACCTTCCCTGGGGCTGTGGCGACCCCTTGAGGCCCTCTCTGGAGCAACGGCGATTCTAGAGGCCTTATGAAGGGCAGCAACGACCCGAGGGATCTTTCCTGAGGCCTCAGCGACCCCATGGGGCCCTCCAATTGTCGTCGGAGCCCTCAAAGGCCCTCCCATGGGCGTCGTCGCCCCCTGGGGCCCTCTCAGCGGTGGCAGTGTCCACAGGGGCCCCATGGGGGTGGTGAAGACCTCAGAGACAAACTCAGGGTAAGCTGTAACCCCAAGGGCCCTCTTAGGGGCAGTGGAAACCCCGTGGTTCTCCAAGTGACAGCATCACCTCCAGAGGCCCTCTCAAGGGCGGTGGCGACCCCATGTTCTCTCGCAGGGGCTGGTGGGACCGCAGGGGCCCTCTCAGGCATGGCAGGGCTCTCAAAGGCTCTTTCAGGCACTGTAGTGCCCCAGGGGCCCTACCAGGGGCGCCCCTTCCCAGAAGCCCTATAGCTTGCTTGGTCATGGTGCTGTATATATTGCATACGCGCAGTAATCCCTTGATGGCTGGTCAGCACAAACACTCTGACTTATGTTTTCCTGTTGGATATTTATTCTCCTTTACATTGTTCATGATTCGATGATACTGGAAATGTGAAGGGCGGTGTATTTATACGCTCATAGTGCACCTTGAACAATGTAAAGGAGAATAAATATCCAACAGGAAAACATAAGTCAGGGTGTTGTGCTGACTGACTCCTCTGTTCTCCTATTGGCTGTAATTTGGGGGGTTTACATTTTAGTCCACCAATCACAGTAAAGTAAAGGATTGCTGGACGTCTGCAATATATACTACATTATGAACAAGCAAGTTATAAGGCTTTTGGGAGGGGGCAGCCCTGGTAGGGCCATTGGGGCACCGTTGCCTCTGGGAGGGCCCCAGAAGGCACTGCAGTCGCCCCTGGGAGAGTACCTGGAGTTACCGCCCCCTTTGGGAGAGCCCCTGGGTTCTCTATCGATTCCGGCCTGGCCCCTGGGGCCGCGGTTGCTCCTGAGAAGGCCCCTGGGGTTGCCGCCCCCTCTGCTAGGGCTCCTTGGGTCACTGCCACCGTTGGGGGTGCCACTGCCCCTGGAGGAGCCGTTGGTGGCGCCGCGGCCATTGGGAGGGCCCATGGGAGTTTCGCTCCCCATGGGGGAGCCCTTTTGGGCACCACCTCCACTCTTTAGGCTTCTCGGAGCAACCACGGCCCTGGAAAAGCCTGTGGGATCGCCGACGCCTCTGATAGAGCCCCTGTGTCGCCGCCGTTCCTGGGAAGTTCCCTGGTGGCGCCGCCGCCCCTGGGAGGGTCCCTGGGGGTGCCGCACCTGGTAGGGCAAATGGGAGGGTTCCAGGGAGCGCTGTCCCTGTAGGGCCTCAGAAGGCAGCTGTTTTTTGCACTCTTTAGAATAATGTGAGATATGAGGGTTAAATAATACACTGCCCATCACATTTCCAGTACCATCGTAACACGAACAATGTAAAGGAGAACATATATCAAACAGGAAAACATAAGTTGGGGTTTTGTGCTGACTGCTGGCTCTGTTCTCCTATTGGCTATAATTTGGTCGATTTACATTTTAGTCCACCAATCATAGTTTAGTAAGAAATTGCTGGACCTATGCAATATATTCAGCACCTTGACCAAGCAAGCTATAGGACTTATCGGCGGGACGCTTCTGGTAGGGCCCCTGGGGCGCCACAGCCTCTGGGACGGCCATAGGGGCACTTCTGTCTATGGGAGGGCCTCTGGGGTCGCCGTAACCGCCCCTGGGAGAGTACCTGGAGTTACCGCCCCCTCTGGGAGAGCCCCTGGGTTCTCTATCGATTCAGGCCTGGCCCCTGGGGTCGCCGTTGCTAGTGATAAGGCCCCTGGGGTTGTCGCCCCCTCTGCTAGGGCTCCTTGGGTCACTGCCACCCTTGCGGGTGCCACTGCCCCTGGAAGAGCCGTTGGTGGCGTCGACGCCATTGGGAGGGCCCATGGGAGTTTTGCCCCCCCTGGGGGAGCCCCTGTGGGCTCTGCCTCCACTATGAAGGCTTCTTGAGGCAACCACGCCCCTGGAAAACCCTGTGGGATCGCCGACGCCTCTGAGAGAGCCCATGTGTAGCCGCCGATCCTGGGAAGTTCCCTGGTGGCTCTGCCGCCCCTGGGAGGGTCCTTGGGGATGACACACCTGGTAGGGCAAATGGGAGGGTTCCAGGGAGCACTGTCCCTGTAGGGCCTCTGAGGGCAGTTGTTTTTGCACTATTTAGAATAATGGGAGATACGAGGGTTAAATTATACACTGCCCATCACATTTCCAGTACCATCGTATCACGAACAATGTAAAGGAAAATAAATATCCAACAGGAAAACATAAGTTGGGGTGTTGTGCTGACTGCTGGCTCTGTTCTGCTATTGGCTGTAAGTTGGTGGATTTACATTTTACTCCACGAATCACAGTAAAGTAAGTGATTGTTGGACGTTTGCCATATATACTGCACCATGACCAAGCAAGCTATAGGGCTTCTTGGAGGGACGCTCCTTGTAGGGCCCCTGGGGCGCCACAGCCTCTGGGACGGACATAGGGGCACTTTTGTCTATGGGAAGGTCTCTGGGGTCGGCGCCCCCGACCCTGGGAGGACTGGTGGAGTTACCACCGCCTTTGCGAGGGCCCCTGGGGTACAGCGACTCAAGGAGCCTTTGCAGGGGCTTCAACGTTCCCCGGGGCCTTCCATGGGGCTGTGGCGACCCCGGAGGCCCTCTCTGGAGCAACGGCGATTCCAGAGGCCTTATCAAGGGCAGCAACGACCCAAGAGATCCTCTCTGAAGCCTCAGCGACTCCATGGGGCCCTCCCATTGTCATAGAAGCCCTCAAGGGCCCTTTCAGGGGCGTCGGCGCCCCCTGGGGCCCTCCTAGATGCGGCAGTGTCCACAGGGGGCCCATGGGGGTGGGGACGACCTCAGAGACAAACTCAGGGGAAGCTGTAACCCTAAAGGCCCTCTCAGGGGCAGCGGCAACCTCGTGGTTCTCCTAGCGACAGCATCACCTCCAGAGGCCCTCTCAAGGGCGGTGGCGAGCCCATGGGTCTCTCGCAGGGGATGGTGTGAACACAGGGGCCCTCTCAGGCGTGGCAGGGCTCTCAAGGGTCCTTCCAGGCATTGTAGTGCCCCAGGGGCCCTACCAGGGGAGCCGCTTCCCAGAAGCCTTATAGCTTGCTTGGTCATGGTGCTGTATATATTGCATACGTGCAGTAATCCTTTAGTTAACTGTGATTGGTGGACTAAAATGTAAATCCACCAATTTACAGCGAAAAGGAGAACAAAACAGTCAGTCAGCACAACACCCCAACTTATGTTTTCCTGTTGGATATATATTCTTCTTTACATTGTTCATGATTCGATGGTACTGGAAATGTGATGAGCGGTGTATTTATTTAAAGCTCATAGTGCACCTTGAACAATGTAAAGGAGAATAAATATCCAACAGGAAAGCATAAGTTGGGGTGTTGTGCTGAATGACTCCTCTGTTCTACTATTGGCTGTAATTTGGTGGGTTTACATTTTAATCCACCAATCACAGTAAAGTAAGGGATTGCTGGACGTCTGCAATATATATACTACATTATGAAAAACTTCTGAAACTGTGGGAGCCCCATCTGGAAGGGCTAGAGTGTCTGGGCGGGCCTCTAGGGGCACTGCGGTCGCCCCTGGGAGGGCACCTGGAGTTACCGCCCACCTGGGAGAGCCCCTGGGTTCTCTATCGATTTCGGTCCTGGCCCCTGGGGTCGCTGTAGCTCCTGATAAGGCCCATGGGGTCGTCGTTGCTCCTGATAAGGCCCCCTCTGCAAGGGCTCCTTGGGTCACTGCCACCTTTGGGGGTGCCACCGCCCCTGGAAGAGCCCTTGGTGGCGCCGCCATCAATGGGAGGGCCCATGAGAGTTTCGCTCCCCTGGGGGAGCCCCTGTGGGCACTGCCTCCACTATGAAGGCTTCTGAGGGCAACCACGCCCCTGGAAACGCCTATGGGATCGCCGACGCCTCTATGAGAGACCCTGTGTCGCCGCCGATCCTGGGAATTTCCCTGGTGGCGCCGCCACCCCTGGGAGGATCCCTGGGGGTGCCGCACCTGGTAGGGCAAAGGGGAGGGTTCCAGGGAGCGCTGTCCCTTCTAGGGCCTCAGAGGGCAGTTGTTTTTTGTACTATTTAGAATAATGTGACATATGAGGGTCAAATAAATACACTGCCCATCACATTTCCAGTACCATCGTAACACGAACAATGTAAAGGAGAACATATATCAAACAGGAAAACATAAGTTGGGGTGTTGTGCTGACTGCTGGCTCTGTTCTCCTATTGGCTATAATTTGGTGGATTTACATTTTAGTCCACCAATCACAGTTAAGTAAGGGATTGCTGGACGTATGCAATATATTCAGCACCTTGACCAAGCAAGCTATAGGACTTATGGAAGGGACGCTTCTGGTAGGGCCCCTGGGGCGCCACAGCCTCTGGGACGGCCATAGGGGCATTTCTGTCTATGGGAGGGCCTCTGGGGTCGCCGTAACCGCCCCTGGGAGGGCTGCTGGAGTTACCACCGCCTTTGCGAGGGTCCCTGGGGTCACAGCAATTCAAGGAGCATAAGCAGGGGCTTCACGGACCCGTGGTACCTTCCCTGGGGCTGTGGCGACCCCTTGAGGCCCTCTCTGGAGCAACGGCGATTCTAGAGGCCTTATGAAGGGCAGCAACGACCCGAGGGATCTTTCCTGAGGCCTCAGCGACCCCATGGGGCCCTCCAATTGTCGTTGGAGCCCTCAAAGGCCCTCCCATGGGCGTCGTCGCCCCCTGGGGCCCTCTCAGCGGTGGCAGTGTCCACAGGGGCCCCATGGGGGTGGTGAAGACCTCAGAGACAAACTCAGGGTAAGCTGTAACCCCAAGGGCCCTCTTAGGGGCAGTGGAAACCCCGTGGTTCTCCAAGTGACAGCATCACCTCCAAAGGCCCTCTCAAGGGCGGTGGCGACCCCATGTTCTCTCGCAGGGGCTGGTGGGACCGCAGGGGCCCTCTCAGGCATGGCAGGGCTCTCAAAGGCTCTTTCAGGCACTGTAGTGTGCCTTTAGGCTCCTACTAGGCGCCTTCCCAGAAGTTTCTATATTTGCTTCTTGGTCATGGTTGCATACGCAGTAACTTTGACAGGATACCAACTCACTAGCTCACAGGGTTACCTTGAGGTTTTCCTGTTGATATTTATTCTCCTTACATTGTCTATGATTCGATGGTGCCTGAAATGAAGGCGTGTATTTATACGCTATAGTGCACCTTGAACAATGTAAAGGAGAATATCCAACAGGAAACATGTCAGGTGTTGTGCTGACTGACCTCTGTTCTCCTATTACTGTAATTTGGTGGGTTTATTTATTCCACCAATCACAGAAGTAAAGGATTGCTGGACGTCTGCACATATACTAAGCATTATGAACAAGCAAGTTATAAGGCTTTTTGGGAGGGGGCAGCCCTGTAGGCCATTGGGGCACCGGGCCGTCTCTGGGAGGGCCCCCAGGCACTGCAGTCGCCCCTGGGAGAGTACCTGGAGTTACCGCCCCCTTTGGGAGAGCCCCTGGGTTCTCTATCGATTCCGGCCTGGCCCCTGGGGCCGCGGTTGCTCCTGAGAAGGCCCCTGGGGTTGCCGCCCCCTCTGCTAGGGCTCCTTGGGTCACTGCCACCGTTGGGGGTGCCACTGCCCCTGGAGGAGCCGTTGGTGGCGCCGCGGCCATTGGGAGGGCCCATGGGAGTTTCGCTCCCCATGGGGGAGGCCCTTTGGGCACCACCTCCACTCTTTAGGCTTCTCGGGGCAACCACGGCCCTGGAAAAGCCTGTGGGATTGCCGACGCCTCTGATAGAGCCCCTGTGTCGCCGCCGTTCCTGGGAAGTTCCCTGGTGGCGCCGCCGCCCCTGGGAGGGTCCCTGGGGGTGCCGCACCTGGTAGGGCAAATGGGAGGGTTCCAAGGAGCGCTGTCCCTGTAGGGCCTCAGAAGGCAGCTGTTTTTTGCACTCTTTAGAATAATGTGAGATATGAGGGTTAAATAATACACTGCCCATCACATTTCCAGTACCATCGTAACACGAACAATGTAAAGGAGAACATATATCAAACAGGAAAACATAAGTTGGGGTTTTGTGCTGACTGCTGGCTCTGTTCTCCTATTGGCTATAATTTGGTCGATTTACATTTTAGTCCACCAATCATAGTTTAGTAAGAAATTGCTGGACCTATGCAATATATTCAGCACCTTGACCAAGCAAGCTATAGGACTTATCGGCGGGACGCTTCTGGTAGGGCCCCTGGGGCGCCACAGCCTCTGGGACGGCCATAGGGGCACTTCTGTCTATGGGAGGGCCTCTGGGGTCATTGCAACCGCCCCTGGGAGAGTACCTGAGCCACCGCCTCTGGGAGAGCCCTGGGTTCTCTATCGATCCGGCCTGGCCCCTGTAATGCCGGATGTTAGTGATAAGGCTCCCTGGGGTTGTCGCCCTCTGGGGCTCCTGTCACTGCCACCCTTGCGGGTGCCACTGCCCCTGGAAGAGCCGTTGGTGGCGTCGACGCCATTGGGAGGGCCCATGGGAGTTTTGCCCCCCCTGGGGGAGCCCCTGTGGGCTCTGCCTCCACTATGAAGGCTTCTGGAGGCAACCACGCCCCTGGAAAACCCTGTGGGATCGCCGACGCCTCTGAGAGAGCCCATGTGTAGCCGCCGATCCTGGGAAGTTCCCTGGTGGCTCTGCCGCCCCTGGGAGGGTCCTTGGGGATGACACACCTGGTAGGGCAAATGGGAGGGTTCCAGGGAGCACTGTCCCTGTAGGGCCTCTGAGGGCAGTTGTTTTTGCACTATTTAGAATAATGGGAGATACGAGGGTTAAATTATACACTGCCCATCACATTTCCAGTACCATCGTATCACGAACAATGTAAAGGAAAATAAATATCCAACAGGAAAACATAAGTTGGGGTGTTGTGCTGACTGCTGGCTCTGTTCTGCTATTGGCTGTAAGTTGGTGGATTTACATTTTAGTCCACGAATCACAGTAAAGTAAGTGATTGTTGGACGTTTGCCATATATACTGCACCATGACCAAGCAAGCTATAGGGCTTCTTGGAGGGACGCTCCTTGTAGGGCCCCTGGGGCGCCACAGCCTCTGGGACGGACATAGGGGCACTTTTGTCTATGGGAAGGTCTCTGGGGTCGGCGCCCCCGACCCTGGGAGGACTGGTGGAGTTACCACCGCCTTTGCGAGGGCCCCTGGGGTACAGCGACTCAAGGAGCCTTTGCAGGGGCTTCAACGTTCCCCGGGGCCTTCCATGGGGCTGTGGCGACCCCGGAGGCCCTCTCTGGAGCAACGGCGATTCCAGAGGCCTTATCAAGGGCAGCAACGACCCAAGAGATCCTCTCTGAAGCCTCAGCGACTCCATGGGGCCCTCCCATTGTCATAGAAGCCCTCAAGGGCCCTTTCAGGGGCGTCGGCGCCCCCTGGGGCCCTCCTAGATGCGGCAGTGTCCACAGGGGGCCCATGGGGGTGGTGACGACCTCAGAGACAAACTCAGGGGAAGCTGTAACCCCAAAGGCCCTCTCAGGGGCAGCGGCAACCTCGTGGTTCTCCAAGCGACAGCATCACCTCCAGAGGCCCTCTCAAGGGCGGTGGCGAGCCCATGTGCTCTCGCAGGGGATGGTGTGAACACAGGGGCCCTCTCAGGCGTGGCAGGGCTCTCAAGGGTCCTTCCAGGCATTGTAGTGCCCCAGGGGCCCTACCAGGGGAGCCGCTTCCCAGAAGCCTTATAGCTTGCTTGGTCATGGTGC